AGAATATAAGCATTCAGCTTTTTACTTTATCATGATATAGAGAGAATCGAACAATGAAAGTAACATAAAGAACAGTGCAAGCATCAATGAAATTAATTTGTGAAGATAGATATCGATTGAATATCAGTAAACGAGCGACACCTATTATAATATTATGTCTTAGAAAATCGCTAGAAACGATATATCGAGTTTAAGTATTTATTATTATAATACTTATAGTAAATTTAAAACTAACGTTTGTCGTAAGGTGACACTCTCCTCCCCTTTTCGGCATTTCTCAAGAATAATCCATGCAAAATTTATGAAACTATCAGTGTAGATAGATCTCAATGAGTAGGGAAAAAGTTCTCATAGGCGCAAAGTTGCTATACCTCATCTTCATGGACTTCTGGAGACCCAAAGATCTAAAAATGGTCTAAAGTTTTCCTCCCCGCAAATCCACAGATTTCAATATTTTGAGATGAAATTTATACTGTAGGTAGCAGACCCCAATTATAGGGCGTATTTTTTTTCTTTTTGAACAATTCCAAAAAATTACGGAATGGGAAGTAAAATACTAAAAATCTCGTTAAAAATCGGATTTTTCTGGACGCTAGATTTTTTGTGAAAACTACCAAATTTGATTGGTAAGAGATATCGACGGAAAAAAAACATACATCCCACAAATTAGTTGAAGTACTATCTTGATTTTGTTCCTAAATACTTGTCGATCGAATGATTTTCAGTGAACTATGGCAAATATTCAATCATTACTATCTTGAAGATGCGGATGTTCTTAACACTTATCCACATCCATTAAGCATGTCTGGTTTATTTAATATTTTAAGTGAGTTAAAATTAAATAACAGATGTTACTAACGGAGTTAATGAATAGAGAAAATTTAGTTATTCTCATTCTAATTACATCATATCTATATAAAAGTGTTTCAAATGATTTATATTATTTGAAGGGAAATTTATGTCCTATACCACTTGTATTCATCGAAAAAATCTTAAATATTCATTCGACACTTGATAAAATAGTTATATTGAAAATCTAATTTAATGGAAATTTTTGATCTTTATTCGATCATTATCAACCTTTTACCACAAGCTGATATTACAAACAAAAAGATTTTTTTTACACGAAAAAATATATGAAAAACACGAATAGTCATATGCATTCTTTATCATATAATAATAAGTATAAATTATCTTATATGTAGTCATCATTTAAACATAAACATCATAAACATGAACATGAATGATTCTTAAATTCATTCCACCACTAATTATATGTACCATTAATGTATGAATATCAATAATCCTAAGATCTGTTGTAATATCTTGTTATAAGGTTGTGGTAAAAGGTTGATAATGATCGAAAATTTCCATTAAATTAGATTTTCAATATAACTACATTACTTAGTTTTTCATTTAAATTGATTAAAATGTCAAAATTATTCATATTCATACTTGATAAAATAGTAAATGGACTTAACAGTAAATGATCAATTTAATTTGTAATTTGATATATGCAGAATAGAGTTAGATTTTATTCGTTTTTCCTAGCAAAGAGTGTGTGTGTGGTTAAGAAAAGAACACAGTACCCACAACCACACCCAAGATATTCTCAAACAAAACTACTCGGATATTGATTGTTTCAACAGCTTTATATTAACTCTGCTATCAAAGACATATACTACAAATTATCTCTAATACTCCAGGAGAGTGTGAATAATCAGACATAGCAAATCTTATTATTTTATTACACATGATTTATGACAACTGAATACATGCTTGGTTTGTTGTCTTTCCGCGCCCCGGGCATTCATCAAAGTTATTTTCGGAATTTCTATATGATATGTATGTAGATCATGGTAGTTTTCTGGGAAACGGGGTGTGTCCTGCATATTTAAATTGTGCTGCTGAGGATGATGAATAAAATTCGTTGTTTGTATCGTCTCGAGAATCATACAACGCTGTGTTTGAATATTCAATCTGTTGTTGACGGTTGTTTTTTTCGAAAGAGCCTTGAGGACGTCTTGGAGCGGAACGTAGTAGTTGAAAGTGAGATGTTTCCGTTTCTTCAGAAGTATTATTTCGTTCCTTTTGAATTTGATCATCGTTCATTGGTGTCTGATAAAAGTTGTTAACAATTCTGGCAAAATTCGGTCGATTCATTTTTGACCAAGCACAACAAGCACGAAGATTTCTACGAAAGTTATCTGGTGCCTCTTGGTTGTAGCAAAATTCTTGAAATATTCTAGCATTACGTTCATTAGAAAGAGCATGCATCACATCATCATTGCTTTTATATAGTTTTTCCCATGGAAGTTTCTTCGTGATTATTTCTAGTAGGACACATCCATAAGCCCAAACATCAGACATAAATGAACATCGTTCTGAAGTACGACCGCAAAGTTCTGGTGAGAGCCATCTGATAGCTCCTGAAATGAATATCAATCAATTGGAGACTTTAGCTTATATATATCTTACCTGTGTAGCTGTGGTGCATTGAAGAATCTTCGATCACCTTTGAAAGACCAAAATCAGAAAGAAGTGCCGTACCATCAGATCTCAATAGAATATTGTCAGACTTCAAATCAGCGTGAATAACGTTTTTCTCATGTAAATAAGTCATAGCATAGGCTACGTCGATCATCATTTTCTGACATTTGTTCCAATAATTCGATGAATAAGACGTTTTTGTGATGTATTCATATAAAGTGCCTCCATCGATAAGTTCCATCACCAGTAACGTATGTTCTGATGTATGAATGACATCAATATATCGAACAATATTCGGATGACACAATGTTTTAAGAATATTTGTTTCTCTCACAGCAGCCGAAGATAACTGCGCTTCTGTCACTTTGTAAGCAACTTCTTGAGAGCGACGATAAATACCTTTGTACACCGTTCCGAAACCGCCTTTACCTAGTTTTTTGTTTTTTTTTAGCCAAGACTCTAAAATAGAACTAGTATTATAGCACAGCGATTTTAGATGTGAAAAAAGCTTCTTTCGTTACTCTCTTATATAAGTTTCTTTTTTAAAACTAAGTTTTTACCTTTACTATACTCCACTCGCTTCACAGGCCTTCTTTTGTTCTGATTTTCGTTTGAAATCTGTACACATTGTTTCAAATCAACAGTGTAGTTCGGCAGATGAACATAACGTTCTCTATTTCTATATGCTTCTTCAATAATTTCTGAACAGTCTTCTGAGTAACTAAGCCATTCTTCTGGTTCATCTGATCCAAAAGGATTTATATTCGCTTTCCACATCCATTCGACGTTAGTAGAAAAATCGTTGCGTGCCATTAGATATTAGATACTAGTTGTTTTTTCGAATGACACTGTTTATGTGTTGTGCAGAAAGTATTTTGAGGATTGATTGCCAATCTAAAAATCAGAAGAATCGACATGAGTTTTTACTGCAATCATAGAACGTTGATTTCAGATATTCGCGGAATATTATTAATCGTAATCAAAAACAAAGCAGACAGTTATTTCTCTTGCCGAATTTACTTTTTATTTATACTATTCATCATTAAGCGAAGAAAACGCGTAAAACACTCGAGAACTGAAAAAAAATTCGAAGCGTCTGCTGCTGTCGTCATTCAAAAAGAAAAAACATTTGAGAAACAATTCTGCGCACATTGAATTCTAAGATTCTCTTTCAAACAAAAATATGAATCCATACAATGCATAGGATGAGTGAGGGTAAAGAATGAGAAGAATACACATACTCACACCCATATACTGAAGATAATGTCATATAAACTTAAATGATGATATTAAACGCCTTAAAGACGGTAAATCTATTGATTTCTTCGATTTTGCAGCAAAGTTGATATATGATGTATACTTGGTTTTTTCCAATTGTGTGTACAGTCATTCTTCTTTACAGACGTCACATGTTGTGAAGTCGTACGAAATGTAAATGCAAATATAAGCAATCGTTGTTATTTATTCTGACTCAACAAAAAACATCAAAGAGCTTTATTTTTCTTCAAGAATATGCCTGATGGAAGGTTGCTGTTTCGTCTTTTTCTTTTTGCTGCTTTTAGTAAAAGAGCGACAACATAGTTTTAAGAGTGAGTGTCTGTTGAATAACCTTACTCTCATCCACATTCTCAAGTTATCAGAGAAACTCATATTATAAACTGAGAATCTGAAAATCTTTGGGTGTGGATGTTGGTATGGTTGAAGGTGATTATCCGGGGGGATACTGTGTTCTTCTCTTACCCACACCCTCATCAACTATCATTTTTGACGAATCTTATTACGTCATTGCCGTCTTCAACTACATCTTCAGCTCCACTTCATTCGAATGTTCCGAACTTCTAATGAAATTGAATATGAATACTCTGATTTTATCCATTTCGGTTATTTTCTTTTATTTATTCATTTTTTTTCTTTCTTCTTTTACATTTTTTTATTTTATCATTGTGTGCCAACATACATTTATGTTAGTGAGGTGGTGTCACAGTCATATATTCATATGCCTTCACACACTCTTTCACATCATATCTAGTTTTTCGTTACTCACATTCTTTACTTCTTTTTCTTTCTCTTTTTTGTTCTTCATTCGTATAAGATAAATCGTGAAGGAAGGGTCTTCCCATACCCTCAATCAAATCTTGAGGGTGTGGGTATGGGCATGGATAAAAAAAGAGTATATCACCCACAGTCACCCATACCCTCAAGATATTTTACTCAGCACGATAACTATCTTCAGTCTATGAATATTAAACTCTTAACATATTATATACTTATCCATATCTCAGTTTAATATTTCTCGATACAGTTTACGTTTTTAGATCTATGTCAAATTTGCAGTTTATCAATTTACCAGTTGAGATTCATCATTGTATTTTTGATGATCTCGATGTGCATACTATTATTAGCTCAGTTCGTTGTGTTTGTAAGCAACTTCGTGATATTGTGAACTCCTACGATCGTTTCAAATTCAAATTCACTTCGGCAGAAAGGTCTTATCTAAAAGTTCTTTCTCGTCTTGTTAAACCTTCAGATGCCATTTCACTGGATTTAGTTGGTGGTTCTGCTGGCCATGGATGCATCGAAGTTTTTCTACAAAATTTCAACATCAGTCATTTCAATAGATTTCGTGCGCTTACTCTTTCTCAAGTTACCAATGTCGAAATAGCTCAATTATTACCAAATGTAACCGCTAATTCTGTAATTTCATTGACAGTTAATATACTTGGATTAGAAAACAATGAAATCTTTTCAGTTATTTTTCAATTTATCATTCAAGCCAATCTTCAAAAATTAGACTTAAGCGCTTCGACTTATAGCCGTAGAGCAATTGAAATACCATGGCCAAATCAAAATACATTAGAGCAACTAACAATTGGAAGTTGTAGTTACGATGCATATCGTATTATTCTCCATAATTCACATCGTTTAAGAAAAATGGTAATCGAAAACTTTATTATAGACAATGTTAATCTAATAATTACTTCATTTGTGAAAGCAGTACCCAACTCTGCAAAGAAGCAATGCATTGATATTGACTCCGAAGGTACAGTGAGTTAAATACACATCCTTTAACTGTCCTTTAGTTCACTGTGGATGCGTTATTTTCTTGTCAAACTCATCGATTAGATAGTTGATTCTACGCATCATTTGAGCTAATATAAGATTTATTTTAAAGATCTTTATAACCGAGTTATTTTCAAAATAGTCCGACGTGTTTTCAGAATGTTATGTCCGTATCCTTTTAATCGACCAGTTTTGTGAGAGTTTTTATTTATAGAAGTGTATTCACAACTGGCTTCGTTAACTATTCGTAATTGTCAAATGTCAACAGAAAAACTGGAAAAAATTCTTTTATTAACACCTTCACTTATCCATCTGAAATTGGTTTCAACTAGATCAAGAATTGATTCGATATCTGATGGTTCTTACTGGGAACAATTTATTCTAAATCGTTTACGTTTACTAGATAAATTTGAATTTTTTTTCACTTGTAATAATATTGATTTCAATGTTGACGCTACGTTCGACTCACTTATTCGACCATTCCAAAGTCCATTCTGGCTAAATCATAAGAAATGGTTAGTTACCTGTGATTACATTTTACCGAGCTCGCAAATTAGACTTTATACCGCACAAGCATGTACGAATATTGCAACAGAATTTACTACATTTGAAGTATCATCAATAAATTCAAAATGTCGCTGTATTTTTCGTGCGGATAAAAATATGTCCAACAACATTACAAAAGTGGTAAGTGCGAAATGTCTTGCTCACATAAGAATAATGATAGGCGTCTTAGCTAAGTAAACGCATGTTTTTGTCGTACCTGTAAACTTTTCGCCTGATTCTTTGCTTTTCATATTCTATAAATATAACCGTCTATTTCTATATAGATTTTGTCTACATTATATCTTTCACGCTGTGAAATCAGAGACAGCATGGTACAATATATAGCGGTGGCTCTACTCGACCAAAGAGTGACACAATCCACAAATTCACTATAGTAAAATTCATATTTTTATACTCATTTAGACACTAACAACACTTTATCTGTCCAATAACGAAATAGGTGATATCGGAGCACAACAGTTAGCCGATGCATTACGAAACCACGAAGTAGTGTATTTCTTAAATTTATTGTCAATCATATTGATTCTTTTCATGATTTTTAGACACTTATGAATTTAGGTCTTTCAGGAAACAGGATAGGAAATGATGGAGCGAAATATCTCTACTATAGATTGAGAGAAAATAAAGTAAACATTACACACTACTTTTTTCACATATTTAAAATCTTTCTATTCTTTTCTGTAGGCACTCATCAAACTAGATCTTCAGCACAATCCAGGAAAATATTGTAAATTGGTAAAACAAGCATTTGACATAAGATACGAAAAAGTACTGTAGTTCTTTCGAATTCTTTATGATCATTGTAAACTTTTTGTAGACACTGGTCAAGATCAATTTACAAGCAATGCAAATCCGTGATGATGAGATTCAATTTCTATCTGAAATGCTATTCAAAAATGAAGTGACATTAGTGATCTACTTATTTTGATAACGATTCCATCTTTGTTTCGCTTCAGATACTATCAACACTTGATCTCTCCAACAATGAAATAGGTGATATTGGAGCACAACAATTAGCCGACGCATTACGAAATCATCAAGTGACATTTTTTTTAAATTCATTTTAAATTCATTCATACTTTATATTATATGCAGGCATTAACTTTTCTAGACCTTAGTAATAATAAAATAAGCAATAATGGAATTCAATATCTTCATGATATCTTCAAAGAAGATAAAGTAAGTCTTTGGAGAGATTTTATAGTCTTATCACCCCTTGCATTCTCAATTTTAATCGAGTTATCTTAAGAGATCCGGCCTGTAAATATCTGTTTTCCTACGGCATATAAAATCTATCACAGTGACGAACTAGATATCATATGTTACACATATATCCTATAAATCGAATAGTGATAGAAACTTCTTGGAAATCATCTCATTATCTCGACAATACTAAAAAAAGTTAGTTTGTAACAAATGATGTAGAATATGTATGACAATACGTAGATCGTACCTTTTTGTTCAGCTGCGATCGCGCAGTAGGATTTCTTCCGATCAGTTGCGCACGCTAGAGTGAAAGTGAATTCACTCTTGTTAATTATTCTTTTACATAGACACTTAAGAAACTGATACTTCAAAAGAATCCTGGTAGCTATTGTGACGCAGTGACTGCAGCGATTGAAATACGAAATAATAAGGTAAGTCATTTCTGCTAAACAATTCTTTATAGATTTTGAATTTTTACACAGACGATTACTAAAATAAATCTTAGTGGGAAGAATATTGGTGATGATGGAATTAAATGTATCAGTGAAGCATTACATAATAATCAAGTAATACTATTTATTCGTCCTATTGACCATTATAGTCTTGTTGTGACATAGACAATAGCAGAACTAAATATTTCAAAGAATGAAATTGGAGATATTGGAGCACAATATTTAGCTGTTGCATTACAAAACAATCAAGTAACTGATTTTGTTTATCTTTCTCATAAATTTAACTTTAATTATTTAGACCCTAAATTTGCTTATATTGGGAGAATATTACGAAAAGAAACAAGAAAATAGTGTTCGATACTTATACTCCAACGTATTTGATCTTTTCTGCTCATTTATATAAATAGTTATGCTCTTTTTCATAGTCATCTTCACCAGGTCAGTACCAGAATCGAATTGGAGACGATGGAGCAAAGCATTTGGCTGATGCATTAGAAACGAACAGAGTAAAGAATATTAAGTTATTAATACAATCGTCATAATTACTGTTTTACTTTGCAGAGTCTGACAATATTAGATCTATCCTGTAACAGAATTGGAAATGTTGGCGTAAAATACATTGCCGAAGCATTACAAAAGAATAAAGTAAGTTTAGAATTCTTTTCATTCATTCTTTTCTATATTCAAATTTAATAACAAAGTCGATAAGCAAACTGAATCTTGGAAATCAGGATAAAGAAAATTCGATTGGAGATATTGGTGCACAACATCTCGCCGATGTATTACAACATAATGCAGTTAAGTATTTCGTGATGCACATTCTCATTTTCATCTTTGTTATATTTTATAAAAGACTTTAACTATCTTGGATCTTTCTTCCAATCAAATTGGAGATATTGGCGTACAATATTTAGCCGATGGATTACGGAATAATAAAGTAACATATTTATCACAATCATATTGTAATCGCAATAGTTTTCGTTTCTCTTTTGCAGACATTAATCATTCTCGATCTTGAAGCAAATCGAATAGAAAACAATGGTTTGGAATATTTAAATAATGTTCTACAAGATAATAAAGTCAGATTAGAATAAAATATTTATAGTCAATTGTTTTTTACTCTTTAACATAGACACTTACGAAATTGGAACTGAAAAAAAATCCTGGCAACTATTGTGCAGCTGTGAGTGCAGCAGTTCAAATACGAAACAATAAAGTAATTTCTTTTTGGTAAAATACTTATGATAACGTTTGAGTTTTTATACAGTGTATCACAAAAATATATTTTCGTAGTGTGAGTAGTGCTGATAATGAAATTATATTTATCAGTGAGGCATTACATAATAATCAAGTAATATAATTTATCCATTTCTTCAACTAATAATCACAGTTTTATTACATAATAGACAATTACGGAATTAGATCTTTCACACAATAAACTTGGTGTAAAAGGAATCCAAATTTTATGTAATATACTGCAAAATAATACCGTAAAAATAATTTTCTTAATTAATTTAGTGAATAATAAGAATTTTATTTCGAATAGACAATCACTTCAATTGATATTTCAAATAATCAATTTGGAGATAATGGGGCAAAGCATCTAGCTGATGTTCTGAAAACTAACACAGTAGCGAAATTATTTTTAATCTTATCTATCTTTATAATTTAATCCGTAGACATTGACGAAACTGATCATTCACGATAATGATTTTGACAATGAGTTTTTAATCAAGGACACTGGAGCGGAATATTTAGGTGAAGCTTTAAAAACTAATAAAGTAGTATCAATTTGTTAATTTATTTAATTAAAACTATTTTTTTTCTATCATAGACATTACAAGAATTGAAATTAAGTATGAATCCAAGAGGATACTGTGCAGTTGTAGAGGCAGTTGTCAAACTACGAAACAAAGTAATTGTGCATTTTTTAACGTTGTTTTTGATCTTCTTTTATTATTCTAGAGTATTACCACAATAGATCTGTACGCACACGAAATAAAAAACAAAGAAATACAATATCTGGCTAGAGAATTAGAAAATAATCAAGTACAATAGCGTTGATTTTTTATCTTTTGTACATCATTTTGTTTCCTACACAGACATTAATTGAATTGGATCTTGGAGGCAATAAATTAACGCAAAATGAAGCAAGATACCTTTCTGATGTTTTAAGAAACAATAGAGTAAGATTTTGAACTTTTGTCCTCTCAATGTTATTTTTAATCTTGTGCAGACATTAAGAGAACTAAGTCTTAGTTACAACGAAATTAGAGATGCTGGAATACAATACTTAGCTAATGCCTTATACAATAATACGGTAAGGCTTTTAACTCTTTCTCATGTCTGTTTTGAATCTTTTCTTAGACGCTGACAACATTAATTCTTGAGGGGACCAAAATTGGACATTTTGGAGCACAATATCTAGCTAATGCTTTAACAAGCAATAAAGTAATTCATTTTATTGATATTTTTAATTTTCATTGGTGTTAAACTATTTATTTAGACACTTCTTACGCTTAATATTAAATCAAATCATATTCAAAATATTGGTGCACAACACTTAGCTTCTGCCATGAAATATAATCAAGTAAGGAACTTTATTTAATTATTTCATAGTTGAACTATTGTACTTAGACATTACAAGTATTGAAAGCTGGTGATAATCAAGTTTCGTATAAACTCAGAAATCGCTTGACAACAGAAGATAAAAGATGGTGTTTTGAGATAGAAAGTCGTATTTCTTCGGATGAATGTTATTATGAATCAGATTAACGTTTTATTGGTTTATTCGCATCATAATAAGACAATTATATCATAGATTCAATATCAAAAACAATACATTATTTTTCATTTTATCATTCTAAATAAATCGAGAAACTGAAAACGAAAATATCTTATGTGATCAAATTAATTTTGAAAAGCATGTTTTACTTAGATGTAAATGACAAAGTAATAGGAATCTTGATATGAGACAATTTCTCTTTTTTAATAACGACATGAGAAATAATCACTGTTTAAGCAAGAGGAAAATTCAGATCCATACTTGATATTATTTCTATATGATTCAATCGTTTATAACTAAAGCAATTCATATGACGTTTTGTTAGTAGAATATTATACTGTTATCTTATCATGATGTAAACACTTCAACATTGAAATAAAAATAACTGGGAATAAACGAGCAGGAAAATGCATAGTGTTGTAAATCGTGTTTGAAAATAACAAGTGATTATCATTTAGACTTGTAGAGGTTTGAATCTCTTGAGTTGAAATATTGAAGGTAAGAAAAGATTTGTTTTTTTACTGTAGCTGTCATTATAGATACATTTTTTAGAAAAATTGATATGCCAGATATTATTACGTTCCAGAAGTTTATATACCTTTCTGCTATTTTGAGAGGGAAAAAAGCAAAAAATTTGTCGCATGACAATGTACATTTTAACGTAGAAAAAGAAAAGGGTGCGGGTGTGTGTATTCTTCTCATCGATTACTTACATCCACACCCTCAGAGAAGTCTTTATCTCAGTCAAATATTCTTTCTTCTAAACCATTGAGCCTAAACAATACAAATTATGAAATAAAAACTCAATGACATGTTATACTCATGATGAAGGAAAAAAACTTATTTGTATATGATATTTAATGTGCTCTTTCTTTTCTACATAATCATGTTTGATACTCTAATAAGAATGGTTGCAAAAGTTTTTATCATTCACAATCTTTTTCCTTTCTTCTTATACTTCTATACTGTATTTGAGGTCTTTACAGAAAATATGAAGATAGAATTGGTTAATATAGAAGTTCATAGAGAAAATGTTTTTAAAAACTGTTTAAATTAACAATAACGAATGAAACAGATGAAGATTATGTTTAAAACAAATGATGTTGAAATTATTTTGAAATACTCGGTAAAATTTTTACACATGTGAAATAATTTATCTGTAATAAATACGCATGACAGATTCTCTATCTGTCAGAAAATCTTCATAATATTATTCAAAGAGTACAAAATCATTAGGAGAATTTTTTTATGTGTCAAGTCAATTGTTGTAGTATAAAATGACGAATCTATTTGTATGCAAGTTGTTCACAAGTAATGAAAACTTAGAAAATAATTTTCTAAAACTCTCTCTTTTTCTTTAACTAGTTATTTAAGGTCGATTCATTACTGGCTTTCTTGGTAGTTTTTTGTTTTCTTTTGATAAATCAGAGAATCAACATTTGATAAAGTTTAGACAGATAATTGGTAATAAATATAGGTTAAAAAATATTGAAAGTCATGCTTTTACTTATTTTTGTATATGCGTAAATTATAATGCATTGGAGTTATTTTAATAAATATAAGTGCTGTCGGATGTTCACATAATGATCGATTTTCCAGTTGGTCGAGTTAAATCAAAGACACGAGCGTTCTTTATATAGTAACTTGTTCAATTATGTATTCTTTTGATTTTTATATAGCTCACATAATTTTCTAATTGAAGAATAAAATAATATAGCAAGTGTCGTCTCTTCTATCTTTTCTCTCTTTCCTTCGTTATATTCATTCATTTCTCATATTTTATTTTACAAGCAATACTCAATTTAAGAAAAACCTTTCATGCCAATTCCAGCTTCAGTTCGTTTTTACACCTATTTTCCTCTTCTAATTCCATCAATACCATGTTCAATTTTCATTCTTTATCATTTGCTTACTAATCGAATACTTCGTCAAGCTCTAAATAATCATGTCATCATTTTAATTCTTATTCTTGGTCTTGTTTATGAATTAACTGATGTTATATGGTTGATGCATTATTATCGAGTTGGCATTTCCTTATTTCAAATACCAGCATTTTGTCTCATATGGGTGTTTATTGATCTTGGAATATTTGTAACAATAACAATTTTAGTTGCATGGGCATCTATTCAACGACATATTCTTATCTTTCACGATAAATGGGTTTCAACAAAAAGAGGTCGCCTATTATTTCATTACATACCTTCGTTTCTATTTTTAGTCTATCCTATTATATTTTATGTATACATTTTCATTATTATGAATTGTGAACAACCACTTGATTATGAAATAATGCGTTGTGGTTATTCTTATTGCGCTTTCTATGATCCAATAATTGGAAAATTTGATGGTATTGTACATCAGATTATTCCTACTTTTATTATTGTTACATTCAGTTTTCTTCTTCTTGTACGTGTATTATGGCAAAAACATCGTTTACGTCAACGAATTCAATGGCGCAATTATCGAAAAATGGCAATTCAGTTGTTATCTATTGCTAGTATTTATCTATTCTTTTATTTTCCAGCTATGATTATATATATGATTATCGAATGCAATGTGCCACTTAGCACTGGCGCTCTTGATTATTATGGTTCGACTATTTTTTTCATTCCTCATATCATTATGGTGATTCCTTTTGCAACTATTTTCTCACTTCCTGAACTTCAAAAAAAATTAAAAATAAACATTTTATTTTGGAAACGACCAGCACATGCAGTGGCTCCAAGAACAATAGGAACGAATCGTACAGGAAATGCTCGAACAGCTGTAATTACACAAACTGTAAAATAATATATTTTAATGTATTTATCATTAAAGAATTAAGTGAAAATAAAAAGTATCGATGATGTGGATGTCTCTATTTGATTCTTGATTAGAATAAAATTGTCTGATATTCTGAGTAAAAATCAACAGTAACGATAAATATTGAAAATTCTTAAGAGCAAAATATAAATAAGCTACAGAATATTATAATGAAAAATCAATAAGAAATAAACTAGATATCTCATGAATCACAACCAAAAGAGAACAATAAATATCTGTATGACTGATATCTTTTTCCTTGATATACGCTTCTATATTGAATTCAAGTCACTATCAATCAATAGAGATTTGGGTGTGGGTATTTTATTTCAACCACACTCACACCTTCAAGATAATTATATTTTTTACAAGAACAAAGTTTCAAGTGAATATGCACACTTTTTCTTCTCTTTCGTTTCAATATTATGTATAACAAATACCGAAGGTGAGTTCCTTGATGAATGTTTTCGTAACATCCGAATATAATCATTGATAGGAAGGAATTATAGAAGATTTAATGTGACTTTCAATTTCCAAGAATGTTCCAGTTGTAGATAATACTCGTGTTCTTCCAAAAATTAGAGCTGAATCTTAGATTTAGTTACGAATTATATTTGGCTATAATATCGTGGAGTACATGAGAGTCTGAACTGCTTGTCTTCAATCACCTTCATATATGGCTTCATTCATATATATTTTCATGTTACGTGAAAATGTGATTGGCTATTAAGTCAGACATTTTCATGCTGGATCAGAAATATCTGACAACGTCCATTGACAAGAGTTTTCATCTCAATTAAATATTCTTTCTTCTAAACTATTAAATCTTGACAACACAAATTGCGAAATAACGACTCAATGACATACTATACTCACGATGAAAAGAGAAACTTGTTTCTATATCATATTTAACATGCTCCTGTGGCATAAGCGGTAAATGCATCCGGCTGTTAACCGGAAGACAGGTGGTTCGAATCCACTCGGGAGCTTCTTTTCTTTTTTCCCATTATTATATTTGATATTATGTTGAAAATAATTGAATAATTGCGAAAGTTTTCGTCATTTACAATAAAAAACACAAGAAGTACATATATGACTCATCGTTTTTCTTCCTTTACTTCTAAACTGTACTCAAAATTTCATAATCTACCGAACATAATACATGTAGGGTG